AGGCGAAGGACAGAGGGAGGGGAGCCAAGACAGCAAAATGAGACCCAATACGGGGGCGGGGAGGCAAAGAACTGAATAAAAAGAGTAAGAGTGGGAGAGTGCCTCAGGGGTTGAGAGGTGGAGCCGGTGAAGGGCAAGAAGGACAGTGTTGAGGTGGGGAGTTTTGTGGGAAATGGAGGGGCCCACACTGGCTTCCCTCAGCTGAGCCTGGTGCTAGTCTGGGTGCTGCCCAAGGTCTCCAGGCCACAAGCCATTGCTGTGGGGGAATTTCCCATGGTGTGCAGATGACTAGAAAGCAGTCTCAGTTTCAGAGGCTTGCTCTGTAGAGCTCATTTGGATGCATGCGGAGGCAGAATCTAGATTCATCACTTGTTCCTCATAGCGCTCCCTTCTGGAAGCCTGTGAGATGGACAGAAGCATGGCAGGGGAGGCCTCTGCCTCGGAGACGTGAATTTCGTGAGTAGCCCAGGTCCCCAGAGAAGGACGGGGAGCAGAGTTTTGTGTTTGTGCGACATGAGCCTGCCTGCCACCCCTAACAGCATCGAGAATGGGCTGTGGGCTCCAAGGTTCCCTCCCTCCCCAATCCTGGCCCAGGGAGCAGGGACCTGGATGCTGGCCTGGCCAGGGCACCCAGCAGACACAGATTTTAGGCAGCTGCATTTGATGGGTTGAGTGGGAGGCAACTGAGAGCACAGAAGCAACTCCTTAGCCCTTGGCACCAGCATGGAGGAAACATTGGGGTGGTATGGGACCAAGGGGAAGCAGCAGTGCCCCCCATCCCTTCTCCATATCTCTAGGAAGAGGCAGGGTACAAAGTCTCTTGAGAGAGGGAGAGAGGGGGAGGGATGAAGATGGGCGTGTGCAGTCAAGGTCCCCACTGCTCTGGCAACCAGGCTAGAGAGAAGGCCAAGGCTGGAAAGGCTGTCGGGACGTGGCCCCAGAAGACTGGGACATCAGAGACAGCCTTGGGGCAGTGGGCTGAGCAGGAGAGGATAAAAGATAAAAAGATGGAGCCCAGCACCTGCCCGCGTTGTGCCAGCCAACACTGTCCCTGTCTCTCCACTAGCCCACAGGCCACCAGCTGGCCCATTGTCCCCAGTGAGAGAGCAGACACTGGAGGGGGGCCCCGTGTGGGCAGGGGCTCACTGATGCATGCCCGCCGGGCAGAGACTGCCAGGGGAGAGCCACCCTGGACCCAGGGGCAAGGAGAGAAGGGGGGGTGGCTGAGAGACAGGGTGTAGAGACCAAGTGGGAGGCACGGCCTGAGGCCGCCCTCCACCTTGGGAGTGGAGAATGGAGCCCACTGTGCTGCAGTCAGGTCCCCTCCTGTGCTGTTGGCAGTGGGCAGTGTGCGGGGCCTGTGAACAGGAGATAAAGAGTTCAGGCAGAGTGTTTTTTCTCACTAACCGTGGATTTGTGTGTTTGTTCAGCTGGTGGCTCTGATAAGCCCCATTCTGCCAGATAAAAGCTGAGCAGCCACGAGGCGGGGTCTGGGGAGGGGTGTCATAAAGGGGCCTTCCTCCTCTGTGTCCTGAATCCCGGGGTTATCCCCTCCCCCAGGGAGCCCAGACAGGGAAGAGATGCTCCACAGTGTGCCAGCCTGGGGTGCGGCTCCGGATGCCCGGGGGCTGTCCAGAGCCCACCCAGACCTTGGTGCAGGGCTCCCCCAGAAGCCCACTCGGTAGGAAAGCTGCACCAGCTGCCTCATGCCTGTGGTGGGCAGGCTGTCTCCTCACCCCCGGGAGCCTGTCCACCAGGGACTCAGCGGCCTGCCTGGGCCCAGCAGCCCTGCCTGCGTGCCTGCCCGCCCCCTTCTCCCTCTGTCCACAGCGGCCTGGAGCTGACAGGGCGTTGGAGAACCGTCCCTGTCACGTCCTTTAGTGTCCCGAGGCGCCCGCCGCCCTGTCTGGGTGGAGGTCTCCTCTTGCTGAGCTGAGGCCTTGGGCTGGAGATGGCCTGTCGGGGCTTCAGCTAACCTTTGCGCGGAGCCGTGGCTCCCAGCCCCTGGTCACGGCCTTTCACCAAGCTGTCCAGGAACAAGAAGGGGGATGCCGCTTGAACAGATCAGTGGAGCCCTGGCTCCTCTGCCTCCGAGCCTGAGTCCAGATTTCCCGTGTCCCTGCCTTTTGTCCTGGGGCTGAGCTGAGCTTGTCCGGGGCGGCGGTGGCGGCATTGCGGGCCGCCGGCTGGGGCCGCCAGCCGTAAGATGGCTGCCAAGGTCTAAAATGGCTGCCAGCAGCGCCCAGAGCAGCGCCCGGAGGCGCGTGGCAGGGGCCTCGCCCGCGCCGGGTCCTTCCTCCCGCTTGCTCCTTTACACAGAGCTAATAGTAATAACAGCAGTAACGTTTTGGGGCCGCATCCTGGTTTAGAAGGATTTCCTGTCTGTCGCGCTCTCCTGGAGCCCCATTTGTCTCTGCCTCAGTCGCTGGCCCACCTCCATCTCTTTGTCGGGCTCCCTCGTGTCTTTTCTGTCCCTGGGCTGGGTGTGCGCATGCGCACCTACAGGCGTGCGCCCACGGCTCGCCCACTCCGCTTGGCCTTTCGCGGTGGGCTGGGACCACTCCCGTGGGATGGACTCTGAGGCCTCCTCCTCCTCCCCCCCACTGCACTGACCCAGACACAGAGGGTCTGGTGGAGACTGAGTTGGCCCTAGGATGGGTAGGATCCATAGCAGAGACCCCTGGGTAGCAGAGCCTGGGCAGCGCCCCCCTCGCTGGGTTCAGCACACCAATCCTGAGGCTGTTCTTACTGAGCTGTAGATCAGAGCAGCCTCAGGACTAGGGTCCTGGAAGGCCCTAGGGCGGGCAGCTTGCCCCTGGGACTGTTGGCCACGCCCCCTTGGACCAGCTGGGGCTCAAATCAGTCCCAGAGAGCCAGATGGACAGAGAGTGACAAGAAAGTCCACACTCACACCATGCCAGGGCACAGGGGGACAACCCTCTCAGAGAGGTCGCCCTTCCAGGTACAGGAGGAAGTCCTGTGGCCTCCCTCCAAAGCAGTGCTAGCTAGCTCTTTTGCTAAAAACACACCACCAGGAAAACGGAGGTATGGAAGGACACGCCCCAAACCAGAGGGGGTGAGGGACCTTGTTAGCACTTTCCTTCTTAAAAAAACAAAAAAAACTCTTTAAAAAAAAAAAAAAATAGCCAGACTGGTGGCTCATGCGTGTAATCCTAGCACTTTGGCGGGGGGCGGGAGCGGAGGCGAGAGGATTGCCTGAGCTCAGGGGTTTGAGACCAGCCTGGGCAACTTGGTGAGACCTCCTCTTCTCCTAAAAAAAAAAAAGAAAGAAAGAAAGAAAGACTGGGTGACAGACAGAGAGAGAGAGAGAGAGGGAGGGAGGGAGGGAGGGAGAGAGAGAGAGAAAGAAACTAAAAAACGCCACTTTCTTCACTCTCTACAAGAAGTTTTGTTTTTTTTTAATTTAAAAAGATTGAGGCTGGGTTTAGTGGCTCAAGCCTTTAATCCCAGCACTTTCGGAAGCTGAGGCAGGAGGATTTCCTGAGCTCATGGGTTCAAAACCAACCTGGGCAACTTGGTGAGACCTCATCTCTACAATTAAAAAAAAAAAAGCTAGGCATGGTAATGTGTGCCTGCAGTTCCAGCTACTTGGAAGGCTGCAGTGGAAGGATCGCCTGAGCCTAGCAGGTTGAGGTTGCAGTGACCATGAGCGTGCCACTGCACTCTAGCCTGGGTGACAGAGTGAGACTCCAACTCAAAAAAAAAAAATTGAACAAGGGAAAAGGGTGAGGGGAGTGGGGCCTGAGAAACCGTTGCCCTTTTCTACCCATCACACTTAGGTAAGTGACCAGGACCATGGTCAGTGCCTTTAGCCCCAGATGTGGCAGGGCCTTTGCTTTGAGAGGAGAGGTGCTACTTGGGTGGGCTGTGTCCTATCTGCCAGCCCCGAACCCTGCTGACTTCCTTCCCTCCTGAGTAATCGATGGGTCCCTTACCCCAACTCGCAGGCTGATGTTGCCTTTTGGGAACCTCCTTAAGATAGGGGCCAGCAGGTTGAACACAGGGTGGTGGGCAAGACCCAGGAGGCAGGAACACTCTGAAGAGTCAGGCAAGGTCCTGGCCAGTACCAAGGCACAGTTTTCAGATGCCACTCCCATGTGGTCCCCCTGTGAGCAACCGATTCTTCACCAAATGCCTGCCTTCCTCCTGCCCCACAACCTGCCTGGTTTCCTCTGCCATCCTCTCGCCAGCTGTCGTGCCCAGGCAGGCATTCTGGAGGTCCCCGTTGTGCCCCTGGCACACAAAGCTTTGAGGAGCTGAGGGGGCTTTCCCAAGCTCAGCAAAATATTCACACACACACTCCACCCTGCCCCCAGCCCTCTGTGAGCTCCCACTGCACAATGGGCCCTTGTCTTGGGGCTCCCTCTGAGCAGCTGTGGCACTGGGGCATGAGACAGACCAGACAGGCTGGCACAGAGCGGGCGACGGCGTCAGGGCAAACCTCCCCCCTCTGGGTTGCCAGGCACTGCCTGTGAGCATAAAGGTGAGGTGGGGGAGGTGCAGGCAGACAGGAATGACTGTAATTAACGGAGTAAGGGAAGGGGATGCTCCTCTGGGAGCTGGAGCCAGGTGGGGGATGGGGGACCCTTGGGTCTGTCCCAGCTGTGGAGAGAGATGGTCTCTGCCTTCTCTCCTTAGCCCCTCCTTGTTCCTGACTCTTGGCCAGTGCTGCTCTCCCAAGGATGACTTTGTCCCTCAGAGCACAGTGGGCTGTGTCTGGAGACAGTTTAGGTTGCCATAGCTGGGGTGCTACTGTCATCTAGTGGGTGGAGGCCAGGGATGCTGGCCTATATTACACAGGACAGCCCCCACCACAGAGAATGATCTGGCCCAAATGTCAATAGTTGCCAAGGGTGAGAAACCCCCACTAGGCATGAGACTGTTTGGGGAGGGTGGGATGGACTTGAGGGACAGCTGCTTGGCTGGTGCTTGTGGGGAACTTTGCTCCTGACCCCTCCTTCCCTTTGTGTCTCCTGCAGAATCCGGACAATCAGATAGTTCAAACCAGCAAGGAGATGCGGACATCAAACCACTGCCCAACGGTCAGTGCCTCCCATCTACCCACCCACCCTTTCCTATTTTGCCCCTCCTCTTCCCACCCCTAGCTGACCAGACCACCCTCAGTTCTTCCCCCTCACCCAGCTGCCCCTTGACTGAACTTGGGCTGCCATCCCAAGGGGATGGGCACTCCTGGAGTATGACTCCTCTTCATTGTAGACCAGAGGACAGTACTGGAGCCGGAATCAGGGCTTGGGAGGGAGAGAGTCAAAAGTGGGGATGAGCTTTGGAGAAACAGGCAGGCAGTTCCCTTCTGACCCTGCCTCTGCTCACTCCTCCTTTTCCCTCTTCAGGGCACTTAAGTTTCCAGGACTGTTTTGTGACTTCTGGGGTCTGGAATGTGACAGAGCTGGTGAGAGTATCACAGAGTAAGTGAGTCCCTTTCAGGCCAGGGATGGGGATTGGAGGTGGGACCTCATGGGCCTCCTGCTAATAGGGTCTGGGCAGGCAGATGGGGGCTGATAGGGTTTCCTGGGACACTCATTGGCCCTGGGCTGGGTGGAGCGGAGTTGTTCAGAGAGCCCTGTCTCTAAACTCCACTGCTCTGGAGGACTAAAAGCCTCAACCAAAGACTCTTCCCTAATGACCCCCCGCCAGGAGGTTTCCTTAGCAGTCCAAGCGGCCCACTTTACCATCTCGTGGTCCCATGGTGAACTCACACAAGGCTTCTGGGAAGCTGCTCATGGCAACAAAATAGATCCTACCAGGCCTCCTCAGCCTTCCAAACCTCATCACTTTCTCATTCCTCCCAGCTCCTGTTGCAACAGCATCAGGGCCCAACTTCTCACTGGCGGACCTGGAGAGTCCCAGTTACTACAACATAAACCAGGTGACCCTGGGGCGTCGGTCTATCACCTCCCCTCCTTCCACCAGGTGAGCCAAGCACCCAGTCTTCCTACCTCCTTTGCCCTTCCAGGCTATCCCAAGTGGCCGCAGGCAGCTGTACCACCAAGGCCTGGTTGCTTCAAAATGTCACCTCTGCTTGAGGGCACTGGCTCTCAAGCAGTCAGGGCCCTCCGTGTTCAGTCACCTGCTGAGCTTCCTGCTTTGTGCTGTCAAACCCACACATGGCATGGCTCTGCCTGGAAGTGGGGACTTGAGAATGCCCCTTTTTTGAGGAGGAGACATGTGAACCCAGACACCTAGGGCTCTGGCTGATATGGGCACGGGTGGGAGGATGCACCAGGGTAAGAGGGCAGTTTCCATGCCATTGGGGGCTGCGCAGGCTGGCAGACCCACCCCACCAAGGACTTTGGAGACCAGAAAAAGGCATTTAGACTTCATCCTTGGGCAGTGGGGGCTCCTGAGAGGTTTTAAGCAGGAGATGCTGGGGATGCGTGTTCCAGAAAGCTCCTTCTAGCAGTGGCATGTGTGAGTGGGACTGACAGCCAGTTCGGAGGCCATTCCGACCGGCTGGAGTGCAGGAGGGCCGGATGGGGGATGCGTGGAAAGGGAGGGATGGAATTGAGAGCTACTTGGAAGGTGGAGATGGTCAGTCAGCTCTAGCCAGGGTCAGTCGTGCCGGGCAAGTTTGGTCCTGTCCTTTTTAAAAATGTGGACGTCTGTGTTCATTGTGAAGTTTTTGGCATTCATTTTGGTTCTTTTAAAATATTGCACTAAAACATTGCTTACTTTATAAAAATTTTATTGAGGCCGGGCACAGTGGCTCAAGCCTGTAACCCCTGCACTTTGGGAGGCCGAGATGAGAGGACTGCCTGAGCCCATGGATTCGAGACCAGCCTGGGCAACTTCATGAGACCTCATCTCTACAATAAAAATTTAAAAATTAGCCGGGCGTGGTAGCACGTGCCTGTAGTTCTGGCTACTTGGAAGGCTGAGGTGGAAGGATCATCTGAGCCAAGCAAGTTGACGCTGGGGTGGCCATGAGTGTGCCACTGTACTCCAGCCTGGGCAATGGAGTGAGACTCCAGCTCAAAAAAAATTTTTTTTAATTAAAATTGTATTTTATTAAAAATTTATAAAATGTTATTTATATTGATGACTGAGTCTTGTACTCCTTGACGTTTTTGTCTTTGTGAGTACCTCATTCACCTCACCCTGGCCCTGGGTACTGATGAAAATAGTGTGTGGGACAAAGGAGGCGACTGAGGGTTTTGCCCACTTCTCTGACATGGACAGCTCAGTGGACCGTAGCCTCACAGATCAGGAAGGGGCTCAAGGAGGAGCTGGTATTTGAGGGGCCCTAGGGCTGGCCTTGGATTAGGCATGCAGCAAGTGCCTGGAAGTGCTGCTGTCCACTGGTGTCACTCCCTACGTGGAAGGCTATCAGCACACAGTTCGTTGGCCTGAGCATCTGGTGACTCCCTGGAAACTTGGCCCACTCTTGGCCCCTCTGACCCTTTCCTCCTTCCCCAGCACCACCAAGCGCCCCAAGTCCATCGATGACAGCGAGATGGAGAGCCCTGTCGACGACGTATTCTACCCTGGGACAGGCCGTTCCCCAGCAGCTGGCAGCAGCCAGTCCAGTGGGTGGCCCAACGATGTGGATGCAGGTATGGGTGCAGCGAGTCCCGACCCAGAGAAAGGGCAACCTGGAGCCTCTTTTTTCCCCACTCAATTTACCTGGTGAGACTCCCACCCTTTCCCCCACTACCCATCTGTCTTCTTGCCTCCTGATCTTCCAGAGGAGGGCAGAGAAAGCTGAAGGAGGGAAGTGGAGGCGAGGAGATGGGCCATCCCTGTGTCTGCAGCAGAGCCCATGGGCGTGGCAGTGGGAAGCAAAGGGGTCACAAGCCTCTGGCGCCCTGCAGGGCGGGGCCTATGGCCTCCTCCTCTTGGCATTTTTCTAGAGAGGTTGCTCTATACTATGGCCTCATGGTTTAAAGCAGTTCCTCAAGCTGAGCACTGATGGCATTTGGAGCCTCATCTTTCTTTGTGGTGGGCTGTCCTGTGCATCGTAGGATATTTGGCAGTATCCCTGGCCTCCACCCACTAAATGCCAGTAACAAAACCCGCACCCCAGTTTTGATGATCAGAAATATCCCTGGACATTGCCAAACATCCTCTAGTGGGACAGAATCTTCCTGGACTGAGAACTAATGGTCTCAGAGCTCAGTTTCACAGAGAGGCTTGGAGTCTAGTGAAAAGCAAGCAGAGCCCTTTCCGATCAGGCAGGAAAGCTAGCAGAGGAGGGCTGAGGGTCCACAGGAAGCTAGCTCCATCCTTCCGGGTCCCCTCTAATCACCCACTGCCTGTCGAGCCCACATACCTTCACCTCCAGTCTTGACTGAGGGTACAGATAGGAGACCAGAAGAGCCTAGGTGGAAGAGAGTGTATGCATGTGTGTGTGTGTGCACATGCATGTGTGTGAGGAGGCTGGCTGCAGGAGACCCCTGCCTGATGCGCCAGTGGTGCAGCTTGTGTGTGTCCTCCCTGTACGGGTGTCTTGGGCTGGGAAGTGTGGAGTGTGCAGATGGAGTGCCTGGGCCCGGGACTTTCCTCTCCAACTCAGGAAGACGAGGATCTGAACTGATAGCACTTTGTCTTGTGTTTTCCAGATATATTCCTACTGGGAAGGGCCAAGTGGGTGGGCAGAGGCCAGGGTGGGAGCTGGAATACACTCCTGCTTTTCTGCTGTCCTGCAAATGCAGGCTCTGGTTTCTGCTCTCGACTTCTGGAAGGAGGCAAGGAGGCTTGCTTCTAGGCCCCGAGCTGAGGGAATAGTCTCGAGACTCTCTGGACTTCCAGTAGAGGCTGGTCTCTATAGGACAGTGCCCTGGCATGACTGGCGGCCCTCCCAGAGTCTCCTCATGGCAGGCAGGGACCTGGGCCAGCATGACCCACATGCCTCCCTGGGGGGAGCCTCAGGAAATGGAGAGAGTTGAGAAGGTCCAGGAGACTCCCAGGCTGCATCCCAGGTCCCTGACCAGCACCTCGTCAGGTGGCCCTTTCTGCCAGGGCTGCCACTGGTGTGCTTCAGGGTCTATGTCCACGGCTGGCTCCTGGGCCCCATTGCCCAGACCTAGTCCCTGAGGAGCCCTCCTCTTCCTAGCTTCCACCCTCTCCTTTCTTGGCTGTCTGCTTTTGTGCCTGCCATTTCCGCTCCTTCCGGCAGTCCTGCCACGCACGGCCCCCCCAACATCCTCCTGCAACACCCCCTGCCCCCCCTCCCCCATGTGTCGTTTCCCTGGGCTGCGACAAATCGCCAATTAAGCAGCCCAGCTGCAGGACAGGGAACAGCTGGGGAGGTGCTTTGTGGCCACAGGGACAGCTGTGCACAGCTGGTGGGCTGCTCCCCCCTCCTCACCGTGCCAGCTATCAGGTGGCACACAGCTGCTGCCAGATAACACCTCTGCTGGCGACTGGGAATTCACCCTTCCCTGCCTCTTTCCTTCTTGGTTAAGAAGCTCTTATTTCTCTGTTCTGCAGCCTCTCTACCTCCCACCCAACTGACTCAATTTGTCCCTCAAAGATGGCAGCTCTAGAGGTCTGTTCTGACTCGACCTTATCCCTCCCAGCCTGAGCATAGCCTCAAAGCCCAGGCCAGGACAGGAGATGAGCTCCCCAAGAGAACCTGGCTCACCAGAGGGCCTGCTTTGTCTTGTCATTTGGATGGCGTGCCTACTGGGCAGAGGTGGCCTCGGTTGGCAACATCAGGCTCCTAAAGGCAGAGCTCAAACATGGTGTTCTCTGTGCCCATCTCCTGCTCAATGCTACCCACACATCTAGCACCAGAAGCAGGGCAGAGACCCCCAAATGACTCATCCTCTGGCAGCCCAGCCTCTCAGTCCCCTGGCTGGGGAGTTCTCTCCCCTCTGGCTCTGCCCTCAGGGCCCACCTAGGCCTGAGCAGCCTGAGAACTCTCTAGGTCCTCCAGCCCAGTCCCTGCTCTCTTGTTGGGCACTGTGGCCCTGCTGAGGGCCTGTGGCTATTTCCTTCCCAAAAGGGAGCCCTGGCTTTTTCCCACCAAAGCTTCCCATGGCACAGACCCCAGCCTGTCCCTCTCAGGCCCACCCCTCCCCAATCTCAGGCTGGTACCCAGGGCACCTTCTGTACCCCTTCCCCAATGTTGGCCCTCCATCCCATCCTTTATTCCATTATCTGGGCCCCCTTGCTTACCCACTGCCCTGCACAGACCACCCCATGTTACCCAGGGGCCTCATTTTTCCTCTCTTATCAGAAGCACCCACTGGCCGGCCTATACACAAGGCCTAAAAGGGGACCCAGGTTTGGGCAAAGGAGGCAGGAGGGAGCATGGTGGAGGAAGGGGCAGCTAGGAGGGCTGAGGAGAGAAGGAGCAAGCTGCTGGCTTCCCGCCTTCCCTGCTCCCACCCCCACCCCGGCCCAGCTAAACCTGCCCTGTGTTGCTGCTTCCTCCCCCCAGGCCCGGCTTCTCTAAAGAAGTCAGGAAAGCTGGACTTCTGCAGTGCCCTCTCCTCTCAGGGCAGCTCCCCGCGCATGGCTTTCACCCACCACCCGCTGCCTGTGCTTGCTGGAGTCAGACCAGGTGAGAAATGGGGGGCCTGGAGGGGGGCATTAAGGGAGGCCGCTGAGTGCCTAGGGGCAGTTGGCCAGGAGAAGGGGCCAGAGCTAACTCGAGTGACAGCCCCAAGCTCTCCAAGTGACTCTCTGAGTGGGCCGTGGTACAGCAGTGGGTGGGCATGGGAGTGGGCCCCCCTTCATAGCAGCACCTCCTCAAGGACCAGGCCTGGCCCCTGGCCTGCTCACCTGGTTCCCAAGCACCCTCCCACTTGCTTCTCACTCCCCCCATGCGTGGGTGCTTGGGTGCTGTGTGCAACACAGGCCTGTCCCAAGGCCTCCGCAGCTCTGTCCCAGTTCTCCTTTTGTCCTGCCAGCTGTGCGTGGGAAGGCACAGCCCTCTGCTCTCTGCCCTCCTCTTAGCTCTTTTCTCCCAACTCTTGGCTGAGTCCAAGCGCTGTTTCCCAGCCTGAGCCCAGGTTGGTGTGGGGCCCAGGTGCCTGCTGTGCATCTTGGGGAAAGTGGCTCCCTTCTGTGGGACTCCCTCCCCTTTTCTGGAAGGGAAGGGCTGGGTCTAGATGCCAGGTGGTGCTTGGGCTGCTCTCTAGGGTAAAGAGTCACTCTGCAGCCAGGCAAACCACTCTGTGGCTTCAGGGTCTCCAGTTACCGAAGCTGCTCCGAATGAGAACACCTAGATCTTCCTGACATGGAATTGGGAGGAGGCTGAGGGAGCTGAGTTCTCAGCCCTGTCACTCACTCACTTTCTTCTTCCCTCCCTGGGCACCCATCTGGCAGCAAGAGGCCTGGAGTTTTTTTGGACACAGGCTTGTGCCCGCTCGCTGTCTCCTGAGCTTTTCCGTAGGACACAGAGAATGGGGAGGTTTACCTCCCAGCTTCCTCCTTGGGGCCTCCTGGCCGGGAGCCCAGAGGCAGCCAGTGCTGGGGCAGGGTGTGGTGGCCGCAAGGTGGGGGCGGGGAGCCCAGGCCCTCAGCACAGGCTCCTCCAGCTCCAGTTCAGCTTTTATGAACTCCAGAGGGAAGCCAAGTTTCCTCAGCCTCCTAATGAAACCGAGAGCAAGAGCAAGCTGATTGGAAACAGACGGGAAGAAGAGCTGGGGCCTGTGCCGGGGTGGGATTTGCATGCGATGGGGCTTAACACGTGAGGACGCGGCCTGGGTGGTGGCACTCAGGAGATGTGTGTGCGCACGTGTCAGGTGCCCGTCCGACACAGGCACTGACTGTGTCTTCATCCAGAGCCCTGTGCAGCCATTTGCTTCTTGTTGTCCCTCACCCAGGCTCCCACCAAGGCTAGAGCAAGGGCAGGGCGTTTGAGGTGCTCACCTCAGGCACAAAATGGCAGCAGGTGCCAAAAACTCAGTCATCAAGATAAATGATATTTTAAGGCAATATTTTTTAAAAATCCAAACTATTACAAAAAAGGGTAGGATGAGCAAATGTCAACATTTTAAATAATTTTAAACAAATGTAGGGTCTGACTCTGCCTTACCTACCTTGCCCTAATCCCAGCCCTGGTTCTGATCAAAACTTTTTTTTTTTTTTTTTTTTTTTG